TAAAAATTATTATACTGACATTGCTTTCACCATGTTCTTGGTGAAAATAATAGCAAGGGTCTATGGCACTGTCATTTTAAAATAAGTAAACTAGTAAAAAAAATAATGAAAGAATTCCACAGAACAACTTGGAGACCATAAAGAATGGAAAAGTAACAATAAAAATATCAGGAAGACAAACATGTAAGAAATGTTTCACTAAAGTGAAGAAAAAAATAGAATTCAAGAAAAATCTCTGAGGCATGGCCATGACCTTTAAAAGTAGTTATAAAAGGAATAAAATAAAAACAAGTACACATGCCATTAAATATTAATTCTCCCCAAAAAGTGTGTGTGTGTGTTTGTGTGTGTGTACGAATGCAGGTATAACAGAAAATAGCTTTCCAGTTGTCACTGTATAGTGCAACATGCAGTATACTGGGTCATTGTCCCAGGAGTTTGGCATGGTACCTCTATTATTATACTTCCGTCATTATAAAAATGAACAGTTAATATAGAACATAGGACTACATATACCTATTCATGACAGTATGCTATGCATTTACTTAGAGAAATACATACGTAAGTGTATAAAAATGTCAATTTAATGGAAGATAAAAATGTTATTTTTCCAACAGTAGTTGTACTGGTATATATTTGAATAATGATACAGGACTTGGCCCTAAAGAGCTGTAATACTATTTTATGGGTAAGTTATTCAACACATGCTACTTGATTATTATCTATTTTTAAAAAGTTAGAAGGTTAATCTATAATTTCAAGGTCAGACAAAAGAAAGAGAATGCTGCTCAGTGGTTGAGCATTGACCAATAAACTAGGAGGTTATGGTTCAATTCCTGGTCAAGGCATATGCCCATGTTGTGGGCTCGATCCCCTATGGAGACATGCAGGAGGCAACTGGTCAGTGTTTCTCGCTCATCAATGTTTCTATCTCTCTATCCCTTTCCCTTCCTCTCTGAAATCAATAAATATATAGTTTAAAAAAAAGAAAGAGAAAAAAGAAAAGTGAAATACTGTCTATAGAACATTTTTCTTGAATCAGAAGATTAATAAAACATTTCAAAAATAACAAAAGAAATAAATATTAAAAGATGAATAAATTGTGTGAATGTTGAATATGTAGACTGTTAATCAAGAAAGGTAAATATAGTGCAATTAAATGCAATTAAATGAGAGGTAAAATCAAGAGGAAGTTGTGAAAAACAAAGATACTGTTTAATATTGAAAGTAAACAAATTGGGAGGTCACTAAACCTTGACTCTGGAGAAATACACTCCTTTAATAGCTTCAGTTTGTTCAGGTGTTTTCATTTTATTAGACACTTAAAATAATGTTTCCATTTTACTTGAAATTCTTGAAATTAAACTTTTTCTTATTGTTGTTTTTTGCCAAGTATTTTTTAATTGAAATTCAATTCATATTTTTTCTAATCATGCTGGATTTCAAGTCATGATTGGAGAAAATTCTCTACTCCTTAAAGAGAAATTCCACATTTTCCCTCATAGTTCTATACTATATTCAGTATATTTACACATTTGGTTCAAAGAAAACAAATTTGGAAATAACCTTGGTATATAATGGGGAAATTAATTCAATGTTATTTTTTTCCAACATCACATTAAAATGGCACTCTTTTTCTGCTAATTTATGAGATTGTATTTATGGTGAACTATTTCTACTAGTCTCTCTGTTTGTGTGCTCTTCTCCTTATTCTTCTTTTCCTGGGTTTCCTGTATAATCTCACTTATTTTCTCTTCTAAGTAAACTTTCTAACCAACTTTTGTGGCTCAGAGTTGGCTCCAAAAATTTTACACTGTCTTAATTGAAATTTTAAAGGATTCATAAATTAATTGAGGAAAAACTAAACTTTTGGTTTTGTGTCTTCCTAGTCACATAAATAATATTTTTTCATTAAAAATTACATTTGTATTGATTTCAGAGAGGAATGGAGAAGGAGAGAGAGATAGAAACAATAATGAAAGAGAATCATTGATCAGCTGCCTCCTACATGCCCCACACTGGGGATCAAACCCACAACCCAGGCATGTGCCCTAACTGGGAATAGAACTGTGACCTCCTGGTTCATAGGTCAAGATTCCACTACTGACCCATTCCAGCCAAAATATTTCTTTTTCATTTTTAATTCTAATTTGTCTTTAAAAATGAGTTTAGAGTTATTTGTATAGGTTCCTCAATATCAAGTATATGCACAAGTATATTTTATTTTGCTATCAAAGTATCTTTTTCAGTGTTTCCCTTTTATTAAGTTTCTTTGTATTTAATTTTAATCAATGAAGATTTTTGTGTTTTCAGTAGGTTGATTATAAAACCATACATTTTACAGTATCATTTTAATATTTGTTTGCATTGTATAATTGATTTTGAGGGATAGCCCCAGATGTATATTCAGATATATCCCACTAGACATATTATGTTTTTCTTTCTAATTCTAATCACATTCAATGTTTATTCTTACCTTATATCAATAGCTAATGTCTTTGAAATTACTCATCACAAACTGTCAAAGGTCTGATATTTTACTCTACTTGCAAACACATAGACTGCATATTTCCAGGCAGGTTGACAGAAAACATGAGACTCTTGGGTCACACACAAAGGATTTTATTACTTTCAACAAAACAGGCAACATAAGTTTCATTTTTCTCTTGGTTCCCCTTTGTTTCCAAGTTCCACAGGAGAGATGGGGAGTAGCCTAAGTAGCTGTGAAGGCAGTGAGTTTCTGGCACAACTGAGGAATTTAGGAAACCTCTCTGCCACCGTATAAGGGAAAACAAGCAAATCTGCTCAAACTTTGTCCCATACATTATCTTTACTATTCCTGGTTAGTAAGCAAATCTTCCCTCTGTTCTTTGGGGAGATACTATGTCCGTGTATATTCCAATGGCTGGATAATATACAAACACAACTGACTGTTTTCCATTCAGAAATAAAAGTTACTACAAGAGCTGAAGAAATGTTCCTGTAGGTAGTGAGATATTAAAGGAAGCAAAGGGAATTGGACATAATTGAGCCAATTGGGCTGTGGAGCTGAAACAGACACGGAACCTGTTTGCTTCACTGGGAAGCTAGCTACTGCTTCATTCACTCCAGGGGATCCTAGCATTGCCCTTCTAAGGATTAATACACCTTCCTTCTCTCCTCCAGTACCCAATTGTGCAGAGAGCAAGGGAGGTCAAAATGGTGCGGGAAGAGATGCTTGACCATAAAGGCCTGTCGTTGTACGCTGGGGACAGGATCATTGGCTACCGGCAGGGGTCCTCAAACTTTTTAAAGTGGGGGCCAGATCATGGTCCCTCAGAGAGCTGGAGGGCCGGACTATATGAACTACTAATTCCTACTGTAACACCTCGGCTGCGCTCACTGCCCAAAAAACCTGGCGGGCCGGATCAGACTCCTCTGCGGGCCGCATGTGGCCCGCGGGCCGTAGTTTGAAGACGCCTCTAGCCGCTAGAGGGTAGACCCATCAGAAGCCCACATGAGAGAATGGGAGAGTGATTGGTTATTTTGAGAGAGCTTCTGGTCATGACCCCGGGGGGATAAGGAAGGTAAGACAGGATATTCTCTATGGAGGGGCAGAGGGAAATGAGACAGTGAAAACCCAGGGGCAGCCTTTCCAAATAATTATTGCTTGACCACACTCTCCCGTGCATGTTTCCTTGGGGTGTTTTCCTCGAGATCCTGTGGAAGAACACAATTTCTACAGCCAACAGAAAGATCATGGAGAATTTCCCCCCAGCATAAAGTTAAGTAGTGGTCAAGATAAATAATATCCTTTTTTTATTTTTGAGAAAGTATAAAAGATTTTAGAATTTCTTCATTAAGTAAGTGACTAGCTTCAGCTTAGAAATATATAATTTCTAATATATTATGCATATTAATTGATCCCAAATAACTTATTGTCTACTTAACAAGAATGGAGGTAATATTTTATCAAATGGCTTTTAAGAATCTTCAGAAATAATCATGTTATTTTTATTCATTTCTTTCAATCCATAATAATGTATAAATTAATGGCTCAATGGAACTAGAAATGGATTTTTAAAATATATTTCCATTATTATATATTGTAGGAATGATACCATTAATTACCTGGTTATTATTAACAGGAAAGGAGTAGAGGTGAGACTAGATAACATAGGCATGCTATATATACAGCTTTGCCAGAGAGCTACAGTTAACTCTCTGTCTATTCCTTAAAAATCACTGTGGAAAGGGACTGGACAATGGATGTATGCCCAGTAAGATCTGGAAAATGTGAAAAGATGCTTTTCGTCCTGTCACACCTGGGAGCTAGTCAGTGGCCAGAATACGCATGGCCACTGCAATGGTTCAAAGTCTGAAACACTGAACTCCAGAATAAAACTCTCTTGGCTCGTAGATTTCTTGCTCTCCTGGGACTGTTGCAGCAGGGGGCATGCTCCCCTGCATTCAGCCAGGCGGGACCCAGACAATGGACTAATGAGCTGCGATTAGCCTAATGCTACATTGGACTCAGCATCACCAGGAAAAGGAAACTCTGGAAACTGGCCCTGCATTTAGTCCTACTAAACTCCCACCTGTGCATTTTCTAGGACTAGTTTAAAGATAACGGGACTTTGCAAGCCAAGAGATGTACCAAATTAAAAACCATTCGTTCTCCCATGTGAGTCTTAGAAAAGTCCTTTTCTGAAGATCATGCAAAAACTCCAGTCCCATAGTGGTGGAGGAATTCCACCCACCCAATCCTTCAGCAAAAGGAAAAGTTCTAAAATGATCCACAATGACTCAATCCTTGTTTAGTCCTCCCCAACGTAAGTGTATGCAAGATTTGTAACTTCATTCTAACATGTAAAATATGGAAAAGGTGATGGAATATTACTGTAGTGATTGAATTACATTAAATGAAAATTTAAAAAGGGGATTTGCAGATAAAATAAAAGCCACTAATCAATTTACTTATTTATTTATTTATTTATTTATTTATTTATTTATATTTTTTACACTGTACTAGAATAGAATGAACCACCTCAGTAGCTTCTGAGACTAATACATTTCTATCACCACAATTACTTTAGCAAACCTGGTTAATTTACTTTAAGTTAATTAAAAAGGAAATTATTCTGGGTGGGTCTGAGCTCATCAGTATAGACCAGCAATTTTCACACTTTTTCATCTTAGGGCACACAAACTAATTAGTAAAATTCTGCAGTACACACACACAACAAATATTATATACTTTTTTGCCAATCTGACAAAAAAAATATAGGTGTAATTTTGATTCATTCACACTAGACAATTATTGTTGTTTTGACTGTTGTCATTTTTTTATTTGACAATTCAAGGAAAATTATATCATGCTTCTAACTAAATAGTTAGGTATTGCATGTTTTAAAAATTCTTGCAGCACACCAGAGGGCCTCTAATAGCACCGTGGTTGAAAATGGCTGGGTTAGACATTTTTTAAAAAAAGGTCCAGAGGTCAGAGAAAGAAGTCTCTGCCCAGAAGCAGGAGAGATGCTTTATTTCTAGCCATGAAGAAGCTAACAGACTTGCTATGAACTACCAATTGACAGAGGTGGCCTCTTGCAACTGTGACCCTCAGTTCTACAACTGCAAGGAAGTGAATAACACCAACGACAATGTGATTTTGGGAGAGAACCCCGGGCCTCAGATGAGACATTTTGATTGTAGCCTCGAGAGACCCTAGACAGAGTTAGTCTGTGCTTGAACTTCTAAGCCATAAAAACTGTGAGATAATAATTGTACTTTGTTTGAAGATCCTAAACTTGTGATAACTTTTTGTACATAAATATAAATTAACATACTATATAGATGTATTAATAGATTTTATGAATCCTGAAATAAACACCATTTCAAAATACGTTTAAAGTATTGTAGGTTTTTGTTTTATAATATTTTATTTAAGGCTTTTACATATATATGAATAAATGAATTTGCTTTGCCCAATAGTAACAGGTATCTAATTCCTTTTTATTCATAAGAAATAAATATATAAGATTACATGTTGACTTGAGAAGATTGTCTCTTTACTTACCCTTTCTCTCAGTTTTTTGTTTGTTTGTTTGTTTGTTTGTTTGTTTTGTGTATGTTTACATTTTTATTTATCTGATATATCATGATATTTTTTCCCTCTTAGTCTTTGATAAATTCCTTAAATTTTAAAATATATTTATTTTACCCTGCCACTTGAATTCTTATTTAGAAACTGGCACTTAGATTTAAAATAACTGATGATAAAGGGCAAGTTGGAACATTTTTCTGTTGTCTTCATGGATATATATGTATTCAAACATATGGAATCATTATTAAAAAATGTAGTTACTCCATTAAATTTGTTGATGAATGAAAGGGTGACTATTTCACCATTACTTTCTACAAATACATGAGTTGACTGTGGATATCTTAATCTCATACCTTAAAAAGTTATCTATTTAACATATATGTATCCAAGTATGAATTTGCTTATTTATTTGATTTTATTATAGTTTGTTTTAGTTTTTGAAAAAAATGTGATTAAAGTTGTATCCCTTCCTCTCTTTGAAACCAATAAAAACATACTTTAAAAAAACTTTGGATAATGCTGTTTTGTTCTTATAATGAATTTCTTGCATGAAATAGCCAAAGTGATTTCACTGCAGTGGTGTCTGAATAGCTGACAAAAAGGTGATGTCACAGATATAATTCCCAAAGTACAGAACAGGAAAGCAGTTGTTTTCCATTATCACCCACTTTTGAATCCAGCAGTTAGGTTCCACACTATTCAAAGTCTAAAGCCATAATTAGATGGTTCATTCTTTTTCCTTTATTATAGACACCACTATGTATAGAGAAGATTGACTCAAGCTTGTTGACTATATTGCTTATAGCTATTAAAGTGGCAGTGTTCATTTTCTGAAATGACATACATCTGAGTTTGGCAGATTAAATGCTCATTTAGATTTGTATGCATATATTAGAACCATTGAGAAATGAGACTGTAGCCTTGAAAATATAATACAGTAATTTTTTTCTACGAGTCTCTTTTTTAAAAAATTATATACTATAAATAAATGCCAACTTAAAATGAATTGGCATTAAAAGAATTGCCAATCTAGTAAAATTTCTCTTGACACAATAATAATTAAATAAAGGTGTCTGAAGCTTTACTTTTTAAATGTAAGTCCAGTAAGAAAGTAATGAAAAATAGATAAAATATTATAACATAGTTTATAAAGCATATTAACAATTAAGAAATTATATTTCCATAACTCAGTCACTTTTATGTATCTATCGAAAAGAGTATAATATCAGCTGAAACCGGTTTGTCTCAATGGATAGAGCGTCGGCTTGGGGACTGAAGGGCCCCGGGTTCGATTCTGGTCAAGGGCATGTACCTTGGTTGAGGGCATATCCCCAGTAGGGGGTGTGCAAGAGGCAGCTGATTGATGACTCTCTCATCGATGTTTCTAACTATATCTCTCTCCCTTCCTCTCTGTACAAAATCAATAAAATATATATTTTTTAAAAAAAGAGTATAATATCAAAGTTTTAAATAAAGCATTTGAAAAGAGTTCTAAACACCCCTATAAATATGATAATATTTTACACTTAAATATTTTGAAACGAGGATGTATTTTGGGGGGTGTTTTGGTTTGTCTTGTGTATTACACTTTAAAAGACAACCTATTTTGGGTGGTTAATAAAAATGATTAATACATATATACGAATTGAAATAAAAACATAAGATTAAAATACCTAATAATTTTAAAGGATTGATAACTGCAAGAAAATAAACTCTTGAAAAAGAAATTTGGTATTTATGTTCCTTAAAAAGCTGGGGGACATATATATTAATTAGTGATACTACTCTTTATTTGAAAATACTTTATCTCTTTTTTAAATTTCACTTAAAAGCTTTTTATTTCCAATAAAATTTAAAAGTTATGCTTGGACATGGTATATATACTATAACTATAAGCTTTCAAAGGGTATTTTTAAGGGAATAGTCTCATCTATCCATTTAATATCCTTTAAATTATAGATAATAATTCAAGTAATTCCAATTTTAATTGATATTTAAGAGCCAGGTGTGTTATAAGTCATTTATAACAAAGATATTGAAAGGAAAGAATTAATTTCTTAGGACTGATCATCTTCTGACTGGCCTAATAGAAAAGGTGTTTTCTTACCTCAAAAGTTATGAAAACTGGCTTAGGCTAATGATTCAACTCAGTCTGGTCAATTGCAAGGTTTAGACACTAAGACTTCAATCCTACCAGTTATCAGTGTGATGGTTTGTTTCTTCTCCAAATAAGAAGTCTAATATGGTAAAGTCAGCCACTTGATGGCTCCACTCCATAGTTGCAACCATAGAATTAAACTCTGTCTCCTGATAATTTCATAAAAGGACTGGTTCTTCTCCTAAGAGCCCGATGCTGACCTAACAGGGGGAAGCTGGACAAAGACTGAGAAGTCATATTGCTGGTGTATCCTGGTCCCTGATCACATGACCAGAGGAACCGGTACTTCCTTCTTCAGGCAGCTTAAAGCTCCTTAGTTTCTAAGCTGCATCCAGCACTTCAAGAATTGTAGAATGCAAGGAGCCATCTTGGTTATTATTTTTCCTTTTCCAAGATATATCACATACCCTGGCATAAAAATGCATTAGAAGCTCTTCATGTAAGTAGCTTTGCAAAAATAATATCATAAACTCAAACTTGAAGGAATACATTTAAGAAAAAGTGAGTACGATTAATGACATGTCAAATGATGGATTTAAAACTATTTTAGGAATTTGAATGAAATATAATTTTAATAAAAAACTATTACTATAAAAATATCCTATTTTCTGCCAGTCATCCCAAAGCAATATATACACACACTTGGAATGATTATAAGGGCAGTTTTTACTAAAATAAATTTCATTTTCAAAATTGATCTATCAGCTATAAAAGTGTGTATACATTTTGGGTGATACTAAATGTATACACACTTTTATAGCTGATAGATCAATTTTATCACAAATATATATATGCATATATATATACATATATATGCATATTGTATGTGTTTAGATTTATAAATATTGCATCATATTTACCATTGACTCTTCTTTGTCTTTATAAACAAAGTAGACTTAGTTTTTATTGAGGTAGGTCAGAAACTTCCAGAACACCTAGCTAAAGAAGAAAAATAAAATAGATTTTTCCAGCCAAGGACTGTTTTATTATTCTAGACAACACTTTGTATTGATCCTTCTCCATTTATTTCTAATTTTGTTGCCACTGATTGAGTTGAGCTCTAAATCCTGTGATGACTTACATGCTGTTAGGATGCTGCATTGCTATCAGAAGAACAAGGTAGCAATGTTCTCATTTTAAACTCTAATTTAGTTTTATTTGTGGCAAATTAAGGTACCTGATATAGCATTTTAGCACCAAAAATGCTTTATTACATGTCTTTTTTTTCACCCTCACAGGAAACACAGTGTACCTGGTCAATACGAATTACTACATTGAATATATAATATGGGAATTGTGAACTGGGTAAACTAACACAGACATTTTTAGACAATCTTATCAATGTACATGGCAGTAAATGTATGCCTATATGGCTATATGTCAAATATTTTATGTCTAAAACTTGCCAGAAGAGCAAAATGTGATATGAAAAGGGTTGAAAGACACCTATCTGAAAGATAGTCTTCTATTATAGACCTTTCTCTCACCTTTGGATAAGATTTTATTTTGAAGAGCTCTCTCAGTGAAAGATTATATCTGAAGTATTTTATTAATGTACACACACTGAGGGGTATTGATTTCTCACATTAACAAGTTTGAGAATATAAACATTAAGGCAGTGACATTTATAAAAAGAATAATTTAATGGCAAAAAAAAAGAATCTTGAAAGAGACAGAATATGGGCAAATGTCATAAATATTCATGTAAGGCTCCACACATAACAAATGGTACAGGTATTTGCTAAGGATAACACTCAATAGAGAGAAAAAAAACAGATAAATTTTTATTTTAGATTTATAGAAAATATAATTAAATATATTTTGTATATTATTAAAAACTGATTTTACATTTTGCTTTTAAGAGTGAAATACTAAAAGGTTTTCATTGACTTTTTT